TCTTATTCTAACTGATGACAAGTCAAATTTAGTCTTAAACTTCACATACTAACTCATTTCCATAATTTCAATTAGAACCCTCTTATATTAAATACTTCTTAACTTCCTCATCTTTTAGTTTTAAGACAACTTAAGTTTTCCTTAAGCTTAAGTATTACCTAAAGAACATAAACCAAACTTAATTTTAATAAATAATCAACAAACATAAACTCACCTTTTCCAAATAGGGTTCACGACTGAAGGAGGAAGAAAGCTATGGAAATCTTGATTTTTACTTTCCACAATCTCCACGTGGTTATAATATAACCATAACCAATTATTAATTATTTTACTTGTCAAATGACCAATTTGCCCTAACATTCCTCCTTCTTTCTATATAGTCCTATATAAAATATTCCAATTAAGTCCTTGAACTTTTATTTATCTAATTTGGTCACTATTTCTAAAATTTTACAACTTGGTCACTAACTAGTTGTTTGGGATGTTACAAATCTCCCCCTTAAGAAAATTCGTCCTCAAATTTTCACTGCACAAAGAGATAGGGGTACTGATTCCACATATCCTCTTCACGTTCCCACGTTGCTTCCTCTACTTTGTGGTTCCTCCATAAAACCTTGACTAATGGAATAGTCTTATTCTGTAACTGTTTCACCTCATATGCTAATATTTACCGATTTTATTGAATAAAGACATTGCCAATATTATTTTCAGTTATATGTCTGTGTTTAACATAAACTAAAAGATAATAAAGTCCATATAATGACATAACTGTTATTATTAAAAGATCCCTAGTCAAGTATAATTATGGGAATGGACAATAATAATACGCTTAAGATAACATGTTTTTGATTGATGACAACGAATTGTCATTGACATAAAGATGTCAGAATTGATACATGATTACATTATTAGAGAACAATGTATTGGATTAACCCACCATGAGCATATGTCTTGGATTATTATGTGACAGTCATAACATTTCTCATGGTGATAACTATATGTATGATCCTCATACTTGAGATCAATACCAACCCAACATATATTGTTGTATGTTTTGATGCAGTTAAACAACCTCCGTAACTGGTTTCTCTATAAAGACTGTTATTGAATATATCTCAATATATGTAGTGGGTGTGTATTATTAAGATAAGTTTTTTCCTTCTACATAATAGGAAATATATCACAGGCCACTCGATTGAGTGAGACTACAAACGCATGGCCATGCTTGAATAAGTTGATATGAGATATCACAAACTATTCGTTAATTAAAGTCTACTCTAGATATCAAGAAACAATAGATGGGATATACAAGTGTGACTATTCCAAGACTTGTGCATATTCTAGATATAAAGGACATAAGGATGTAATACATAAAAGAGTTAATCACCAAGATGATATGTCAAATCATATTTTCTTGAAACTTAGGTGACAATGATATATTGCTAGATGTCACTCATTGTTATGTAATTTTAGAATTGTTCTAATAATTACTACTAATGTTACAACAACCTACAGGTCACACCCCAGGATTGAAATTAGCAAAGATGAACAATTTAATTATCCCGAATATATTAAGTAAGCATTAAAAGAATTTAATTTAGATTACAACTCTTTTAATTGATATATATAATTCAGAATAATTAAATAAGTTTGTTTTTAAAATAAACATTAAAGATTGTAATTCTGATTATAAGTCTTTAATGTATATTTAAGTTGAATTAATTAAATAATATTTTATTTATTAATTCGAAATAACTTTAAAAACCCTAAGATTGTTAGGGTAATGGATATAAAAGGATATGTTAGGTCTAGCAGTCGTTCTTACAACACACATAATCTTCAGCTGTTTTTCTCAAAACAGTTTTGGGGAAAACAAATCTTGCTCTTAATCGGGTGAACTGAGTAAAGGTCGAGACATGATTTCGTGGAGGCTTACGATTCGAACCGATCGACACCATCATCAGCCGCTTCCGTCCTTGCTATTTTTCAAGGAATCTGCTATAAGTATTCACATCTTTTTCTCCCAATTTCGGTTTTACGTACTTGGATCGCTGGTGAGACCGTCGAGTTTTGTACACAACAATGTCGTCCTTCGGGACATTTATACGAGCTGTGGTGATAGCATATGTGTGCACAACCTCAGTGTACTCACATAACTTGAGTTCTCAGTAATGTACATGAGCCTACAAAAGATATCAAAAGTATACATGAGTTAATAAAAGAGAACAAAAATACATTGTATGTGATGCATATGCTTTGTTATATGAAATGTATTACATGATAATGATAGAGATCATAATAAAAAGATTGAACATGTTTTAACCATAAATCAAGCTTGAAAATGAATCTACAACCTCCAATTCATCAAGATTTATCATCAATTTCATGAATCCTATCATGAACATAAACCCTTATATTTGGGATCTTTGAAATTCAACAAGATTAGAAAGAAATATTGTACCAATGATAGCGTTTTTTGCGTAGATCACTTTCCTATTTCACGACATAACTCGAATTCCAAAAGAATTGGCTCAAAAATGGAAAAGAAATATTTTTTCTTACCTTTGAGAGAACTTATGTCTTGCTGCTGGAGAAGATGATGAAGTTTTGATAATTCTTCATCTTTTTTTAATATTTAATGAATTAAAAATTCATTAAATACTAAATTACCTATTTACTCTTGAAATTAAAATATCTATACTAATTTACCCTTAATGAACTTGATATTTACATTAATACCAAGAAACAATAACCTTATCATCTTCTAATAGTCAAAGATGAACAAAATATTTTCCCACTTTACCATTTCGCCCTTGCAATTTCCAAAACTTATAATTCTGTCACTTTAATCTAACAATCCAAATTAAACATGGAATTAAACCCTTAAATATTATTTTCCAACATTTAAAAATGTGAAAATAATATATTTCTTTTCTTTTCTTCGTGACCAATTTATAACTTTTTAAAATTACCATTTTAGTCCTTAAACTTTACAAATTTATAACTTGGTCACTCACTAAATCCATTTATGAAATAAAATTCTTTTTGGGAAAATTACCACTTAATTCCTTAAACTTTTCCCAACTTTTCTAAATTACACACAAAGTTTCAAAATCTTACAATTTTGTCATTAACCTGATTTTTGGGATGTTACAAATCTTCCCCCTTAAGAAAATTCATCCTCGAATTTTCATTGCACAAAGAGATGTGGGTACTACCTCCTCATGTGCTCTTCACGTTCCCACATTGCTTCTTCTACCTTATGATTCCTCCACAATACTTTGACCAATGGAATAGTCTTATTCCTTAGTTGTTTCACCTCGTGAGCTAATATTCGGATCGGTTCTTCCTTATAATTCAGGTCAGGCTAAACTTTTATCTCTTCTGGTGCAACAATATGAGAATGATCAGATATATATCTTCAAAGCATCGAAACGTGGAAAACATCATGGATCTTCTCCATTTCAGGTGGTAAAGCTATTTGGTATGCCATTGGTACCACTCTTTTAACAACCTCATAAGGTTTAATAAATCGGGAACTAAGTTTTCCTTTCTGACCAAAACGTAGCACTTTGTTCCAAGGAGAAACTTTCAGGAATACTTTATCTCCAACTTGAAATTCAATTTCTTTTCTTTTTAGATCAGCATACGATTTCTGTCTATCGGAGGCCACTTTGAGATTATTTTGAATCTCCCGAACATTATCTTCTATATCTTGAATCAAATCCAGACCAACAACACTCCGATCTTTGAGTTCATACCAGTTCAATGGAGTACGAAATTTTCTTCCGTATAAAGCCTCATAGGGAACCATCCTAATGCTTGCCTGATACCTATTATTGTAAGAGAATTCCGCAAGTGGCAAATATTTCTCCCAAGATCCTTTGAACTCAATTACACATGCTCTTAGCATATCTTCCAAAATTTGAATAGTTCTCTCAGACTGTCCATCTGTCTAAGGATGAAAAGCAGTACTGAAATTCAATCGAGTTCCTAGCGCTCCATGTAAAGATTTCCAAAATCTCGATGTAAATCAAGGATCTCTTCCAGAAACTATCAAAATAGGCACACCATGCAATCGAACAATCTATTTAATATATAGTTCAACATACTTTTCCATAGAAAAATCAGCTCGAATAGGAATGAAATATGCTGACTTGGTCAATCGATCAACTATCACCCAAATCAAATCTCTTTTATTCGGAGTTAGAGGTAACCCCGTCACAAACTCCATCGTCACATTCTCCCATTTCCACTGAGGAATAGAGATTGGTTGCAACAATCCTGAAGGAACTTGATGTTCACTTTAACTTGCTGACACGTCAAACATTTAGACACAAATTCTGTAATGTCTCTTTTCATTCCCGGCCACCAATATCGACTCTTGAGATCTATATACATCTTGTTTCCACCTGGATGCATAGTCAATGGACTACAATGGGCTTCCGTTAACAAATCCTTTTTCAATTCCTCATCCAAATAAATCACAAGTATCCCTTTATAATACAAATATCCATCAGGCTTAACCTCAAAATCTTTACTTTCTTTACTCTTTACTTTCTCCATTTTCTTCAAACACTTTTCATATTTGACCTGTAACTCTTTCATTCGATCCAACAACATGGACTTAATCTTTAATTCTGTACATAGAGCTTCATCTCCTTTCAATGAAAATTTTGCATCTAAAGCTCGTAAAGCTGTAAACGTTTTCCGACTTAAAGCATCTGCCACCACGTTTACTTTTCCAGGGGAAACTCAATTACCACAACATAGTCTTTAAGAAATTCTACCCATCTCCTTTGTCTTAAGTTTAACTCTTTCTGGGTCATCAAATACTTCAAGCTCTTATGATCGATATATAAATAGCAACGTTCACCATATAAGTAGTAACACCAAATCTTCAGAGCAAACACTACTGCAGCCAACTCTAGATCGTGCGTTGGATAGTTTTTCTCATGCAGTTTCAATTGTCTCGACGCATAAGCCTCCACCTTTCCCTCTTACATCAACACACATCCCAAACCATTATGAGACGCGTCGCTATAAATCACATAGTTCTTGCCAGATTCAGTTTGAACCAATACTGGAGCTTTTGTCAAAATCTTCTTCAATGTTTCGAAACTTTCTTGACACTCAAAAGTCCAAACAAATGCCACATCTTTCCTCATCAACTTAGTCAAAGGAAAAGATATCATTGAAAAGTTATTCACAAACCTTCGATAATAACCCGCAAGACCCAGAAAACTCCGCACTTCAGACACATTCTTTGGAATTTTCCATTCTATAATGGCTTTTATCTTTTGGGGATCAACTTGAATTCCTTCTGCAGAAATCACATGCCCAAGAAATGCTACTTCATTTAACCAAAACTCGCATTTAGACAATTTGGCATATAGCTTCTTATCTCTTAGAGTTTGCAAAACTACCTTCAAATGTGCAATATGTTCTTTATTGGACTTTGAATACACCAATATATCATCAATGAAAACGACTACGAACTGATCTAAGTAGGGTTGAAATATTCTATTAATTAGATCTATAAACACAACAGGTGCATTCGTTACCCCAAATAGCATAACAACGAACTCATAATGGCCATACCTCGTTCTAAATGGGTTTTGGAATATCTTTCTCCTGAAACTTCAATTGACGATAACTAGAGCGCAAATTGATCTTAGAAAAGACGAAACTCCCTATAACTAATCAAACAAATCATCAATTCTAGGGAGAGGATACTTGTTCTTGATAGTCACCTTATTGAGTTTCCTATAATCAATGTAGAGACGCATGGAACCATCTTTCTTCTGAACAAATAACACTGGAGCTCCCAGGCGATACACTTAGTCTAATGAATCATTTATCCAACAATTCATGTAACTCTTTTGGATCCATTCTGTATGGTGCCATTGCAATAGGCTCCATTCCAGGCATTATCTCAATCTAAAATTCCACCTCTCTATCTGGAGGTAGACCTGACAACTCTGCAGGAAAAACATCTGGAAACTCTCTGACTATGGGAATTTCTTCAATTTCTTTCTCCTTGGTTCTAATATCCAGCACATTAGTAATGAAACCCTAACATCCCTGTAACATAATTTATTTGCTGACATCACTGATATTATGTTTGCCAATGGATTCCATCTTTCACTAAACACTATAACTTCCACTCGTCAGGACTGATTAATGTTACCCTCTTCAGTCTACAATCAACATTAGCATAATAGTGATATAGCCAGTCCATTTCCAGTATCACATCAAATTCGTCAAAGGGTAATTCCATCAGATTAGTAGGGAATTCAATTTTGTGAATATATGGGACACCCTCGACACACTCTATTTACCCGAGCATTGTACCCTAATGGATTTGTTACTATCACATCATTACTAGTGGCTTCTAATTGAATTCCCAATTCTCTCACCAATTTACTACAAATATCTGAATATATGGACCCCGAATCAATCAATATCATAACACATTTATCAGACAGTAGAAAGGTACCTGCAATTATCTTAAGATCATCACGCTCTTAATTGGTCTTGAGGTTATACACCGAGCAACAGAGCGCACTTCTTGTTGAGTAGAAGATTCAGGCTGACTTCTTCCTCTACCTCCACCCCTTCCTCCATAATACTTTGACCAATGGAATAGTCTTGATTGTATGAGTTGATATGTTCTGGTATGTGCTATGTGGTTTATGTGAGTATAAAAGATAAGTTATGTGATAAGATCTATGTGATATATGGAAATGAAAATATATGATTATGAAGAGTTATAAGAGAACAAATATAAGTTATATGATAATGAAATATAAGACTATGTGAATATATGGTTATAAGATAAAATATGTAATAATAGGAGAATACGATGAAAGTGAATCCCTGAGAACAATATGAACTAGGTAAACATGTGTAAATGTTATATGAATAATAGAAACATAAGTTAGATAAATACATAGTGGTATGATCAATTATGAGAATTAGTGTATTAGAGTTATATGATTTATGGATAATTGAAGAAAACTAGATAAGATTGAATTATAGAATGAACTGAGAATAATATATCACTTAGGAAACTTGAATATAAAGTGATGATATGCACATATAATATAAGATATATGTTTATAAATATGACCATGAATTATGTCAATAGGAATAATTTAAGTGCTATGTACTATTAGATTTGAATTGAATATACTCGATACCATTAAATATAACACCCCCAACTCGTACCCGACCCGATACGAATCTGAGGTGTCACATTGACTTTTCAACAACATTTACTTGTACAAAATAGTGAATAATTTTAAACTTTCACCAAATACAACTGAATAATTTACATAAATTATCTCAAAACAATTTATAAAACTTATTAGCGCATAAACGATTTAAAGCTTTAGTTACATGCCAACACTATTTAATATAAGAAAGAGAACCTACTATAAAATATCTTGTGATCTGATATCGGATAAAGCTATGTTGTCTCAGATGTATATCCTTGCTCTTCCGACTTCTTTGATCTACGTGTGAAACAATCACACGCTAAGTTTTTGACTTAGTGAGACATATAAAGCATATAATATAAACCATAAAACATTTCATATAACAAAATGCATACATGCGCAAATACCATCATTATCAACATCAATATCGTTATTATGATCTTATCATTATCATGTAATACATTTCATATAACAAAGCATATGTATCACATACATGTATTTATGTTATCTCTTTTATTAACTCATGTATACTTTTGATATCTTTTGTAGGCCATATACATTACTGAGAACTCAAGGTATGTGAGTACACTGAGGTTGTGAACACATATGTTGTTACCACAGCTCGTATAAATGTCCCAAAGGATGACATTGTTGTCCCGAAGGACCTATCATCCCGAATGATGTCATCTGTGTCCGAAGGACCTATCATATGTCTCATAGGACATATGTAACCCTCGACTCTTGGCATGCCAACTATACCACTAGCTCTCATATCACATAACATGAGCATTATCATTTATAATAGTTCACTTCACTTGTATCATATAAACATGTAATCTTATAACTTATTATCATGTAGCTTGTATAACATTCTTGTATGATCTCATAGATCCCTTTTCATATACCCATATCACATAGGTTCATATCATATCACATGTGCATGTAATCATGTAGATCGTATCATATAACTTATATCATTTCTCATGTGTTCATATAAACATGTATGTCATATCTTGCTCTCATATGAATATATTCACATAGAATAACATGTGACACATATTCCCATTTTCATGTATTCATGTATACATAAGAATCATATCAATCATATGCTTGTACTTATGAAATCATGCATTCAAATATGGGAAATATACTTAACACAAATCCTACCCAATGATGTAAAACATCCATGTATAATGTTATGCATGCATCACAAATCAAATAATATTTTATGAGTCACTTCTTACCATAGTAACTCGTCACTGGCTCATCGCAAGCCAATGTTTGTTCTATAACATAAGTAAAAATTAAATTGGCACTCACCTTGACACTTTATATATCCAAAAGATGTTCCTCACTATAATCCACAACAACCCTTTTATACTTGACTTGTCTTAGTAACAATTTAATCACGATCTGTACAAATCACAATTTTATAACGATACACATGTTAGTATTGTACTAACATAAACACAACCCCAAAACAAAATTCATAAAATACTTGAAACTCATTTTCTATCAAAAATACTTAACACTTAATAATTCCTTTTAATATTGGCACTAACTTTTCCAATTTATATAAAATGGTCATTCACCATTTTATCACTTAAATTTTAAATACCAAAAATTCCAGTACTAAAATTATTATCAAAAAGTACTTTTACAAAGGTACAATTACATTTGAGCACCCTAACTATGTGAATGTTTCACTTAAATCACCAATCTTTTTAAACTTCCAAAATGGTCATATTTCACATCTAAATGCTCATTTCAACCCCAAAATAACAATTTCCAACATAGTATATCAACTATTAAACAATTATACAACCATTCATAACTTTTCCAAAATTACTGAATTGGTCCCCTAACTTTTCAAAAATTACAGAATGGTCCCCTAATTTTTAAGGCTTGTAGAATACTTACTACATCATTTCCAGACCTTATATAATTTTTCCACTCAAATACATCATGTCTGAATTTTTCAAAGAATAATTTCTAAAAAGACCGAACATGTTTTAACCATAAATCAAGCTTGAAAATGAATCTACAACCTCTAATTCATCAAGATTTATCATCAATTTCATGAATCCTATCATGAACATAAACCCTTAGATTTGGGATCTTTGAAATTCAACAAGATTAGAAAGAAATATTGGTGCCAAGTGATAGCGTTTTTCGCGTAGATCACTTTCCTATTTCACGACATAACTCGAATTCAAAAGAATTGGCTAAAAAATGGAAGAAATATTTTCCTTACCTTTGAGAGAACTCACGTCTTGTTGCTGGAGAAGATGATGAAGTTTTGATAATTCTTCATCTTTTTTTAATATTTAATGAATTAAAAATTCATTAAATACTAAATTACCCTTGAAATTAAAATATCTATACTAATTTACCCTTAATGAACTTGATATTTACATTAATACCAAGCTACAGTAACCTTGTCATCTTCCAATAGTCAAAGATGAACAAAATATTTTCCCACTTTACCATTTTGCCCTTGCAATTTCCAAAACTTACAATTCTGTCACTTTAATCCAACAATCAAAATTAAACATGGAATTAAACCCTTAAATACTATTTTCCAACATTTAAAAATGTGAAAATAGTATATTTATTTTCTTATTTTCGTGATAAATTTATTACTTTTTAAAATTACCATTTTGGTCTCTAAACTTTTCAAAGTTTATACTTTGGTCACCAAACTTTACAAATTTATAACTTGGTCACTCACTAAATCCATTTATGGAATAAAATTCTTTTTGGGAAAATTACAACCTAATTCCTTAAACTTTTCCCAACTTTTCTAAATTACACACAAAGTTTCAAAATCTTACAATTTGGTCAATAACCTGATTTTTGGGATGTTACAGGCTCTCCAGTCATCATTGGACAATCCCAGATAAAACTTTTGGTGTCCCCGTATCTAAAAAAAGCTCCAGAGATTACTCGACATATTTCGGTATGGCTTCTTCCTCAAAGATGGAACTGTCTAGCTTGACCCTGATTAGATCTCCCAGTTTCAAACCCTACAGATTGAGTCTATTTGACTCTCATCAGATTTGATCCTCTAGCAGAGGATGTAACTGTCTCAGACCTCGTCTGAGATCGAAAACCAGAATATTTTCCCCTCTTATATGGTGCAATACTCGAGGAAGCACCTGTTCTCTTGGAATCTGAGCTTTTTGTTCTCCAAATCTCTCATTCTAAGCTCTGTCTAGAGCTTTAGCATGATTGACCACTTCTTGGAACGAGGACTGATTCAAAACAATCAACATTTCTTTCAATCTCGGACACAAGCCCTCAACAAACCATTTGCATACATCATTCTCAGTCAAAATAAGTTCAGCAACAAAACAACTTAATTTATTAAACTCGCACTCGTATTCATACAAAGTGCGATTCAATTGCTTCAGGCTCATAAACTTTTGCTTCACATGCCATATAAACTAATCTCATATATACTTGTGCTTGAATTCCTCCAAGAACATGGACCATGTCACTTGGTCACTTGTCATTCTCATAATGACATTCGTCCACCATATTCTCTCTTGCCCACGAAGCAAAAAGACCACTCCATCTTACTTCTACACATCAGAACAGTGGAGTCTATTTATTATTATCTTGACATCATTCAACCAGAGGTCCGCCGTAATAAGACTTTCCTCTACTTCACCTTTGAATTCAGGAGCTCCTCCTTTCAACTCATTCGTAACATTCATTCTCTAAGTTGAGGAAGAATGAGGTTGGAAACGCGTTAGAATAACGTCCAACATTCTGAAGAACATATCTTGATCTTGTACAGGCACTCCCGAATGTGTCTATTCTTCACACTGCCTAGCCAGGGTAGGTGAATTACTACTCCCCTCTAGTCTATCATTTCCCGATTCACTTCGGGAGCTCTCGTGTCCAGACATCAAATAAGATATAATCATATAACTCTATTAGCAAGACATCATACTTGTTACTCTATCAGATCAGAAGTTCTCACTATTTTGTTGGCATGTATACTTTTAAAGACACTCTTAACTTCGGTTTATGCCTAGAATCGGCTAAACCTTAGCTCTGACACCATTAAATCTAACACCCCGAACCCGACTCGGATACGAATCCGAGGTGTCACATTAACTTTTCAAAACATCCATATTGAAGAATTAATTTAAATTTTAAACATACATATGAATAAGCATGATAAAACCTTTAATTAAAATAGCTAAACATCATTAGACTTCTTTTTAATAGTAAATAAATTCAATAATTCACATAAATATAATATTGTATGTTTACAAAAATGATCAGAGCATATGAAATTCACACCTCTGTCTACATGCCAACACACTTATTACAACAAGATACATAATTTAAATTACTTCTGATCTGATCTTCTAGTAGAGGTATATTGTCTCGTTA